TCCGGCTGGGCCGGATCGAGCGCAAAGTCTTCTACGTCCTCGGCCGGTTCAGCTCTCGGCCTTCTTTCCTCTTGGTCGACGGCTCCGGTGATGGTGTCAACACGGAATTCCGTCTTGCTTACCTTCTTAGTGACCTGAAGATAGCAGGTGCGGGCAATTTTTTGGTTCCCCCGGGAGTAGCCAATGCCCCCCTCGGCGGGAAACTTGAGGCAGAGGTGCCTCATGGAGATGATGGCTTCGAGGTCCTCGAGGGCTGGCCGGCCGAGGATGATGTTGTGGGCAAAGTCAATGTTGACGACGACGAACTCCACCTCGAGCTGGGCTCTATGGAGTCCGTCGCCGAAGATCACCGGGAGGGTTATTACCCCCTCGGAATCAATAGTGTCGCCGGTGAAGCCGGCAAGAGGGGTCTTAATGGGCCGAAGGGACCCCCTCTCCAGATGCAGCTCTCTGAAGGTGCTGAGGTACATTACATTGACGGAGCTGCCCGTGTCAACGTAAGTTCGGTGAATGATGGTGTCGTTTATCTCCGTCCGAATCACCAAGGCATCCCTGTGAGGAGAAGAAGTAGGAGGGAGATCTGCGTTGGTAAAGGTGATGGGTTCCTCCCTCAGTCGCTTTACCGGGGGCATATGAGTGACTTCCCCCACGTAAAGCGATTGAGCCCACTTCTTTCGTTGGCTGGTGGAATCGCCCCCTGTATTGCCACCGGTGATCATGAGGATGTGGCGTTTCTTCTCCTGGTAGTGGGGGTACTCCTCCTCCTCTTCTTCCAAGTTTCCGATCTCCCTCTTCTTGCCGAGGGGGATGGTGTTCGGATTTACCCAGGCATTTACCTTCGTATGGTGCCCTCGGGGAGGTCCCTGATGAGAAGGTCCCTCCTGCCGAAGGCTCTGGACAAACTGGGACAGGTGCCCCGCCTGTATTAATCTCTCGATGGCCGTCTTCAGCTGATGGCAGTCATCGGTCCTGTGCCCCTGGTGCCGATGGAAGCGACAGTAGGGGAACTGAGGGTTGATAGCGTGTACCTCCGGGGGTGCGCGAGAGTCGCGCTCAACGAGGCCCCTCTCCTCGGCAAAATCGAGGATGATGCTGACGGGGTGCATCAATGGCGTCCGAGGGCGGTCCAGGAGAATGGGCTGGGCCCAAGTCTTAGGGTTGCTCTTATAACCTCCCCCGGGCTTGGCTTGGCCTTGCCGAGGGCGGTCATCAGAGGGTCCCGAAGTCTTGGGGTGATTTGGAGGAGCCCCCGGCCCTCGGTTATGCTTGTTGTCAGCCCTCGGGAGCTGCTGGTCCGGATGCTGGTGATACTTCTCCACCTCCTCGGCCTCAGCATATCGGTCCCCCCGCTGCAAAGCCCTTATGTAGTCGCGGGGGGGGGGGGGGGGTTCAATGATGAGGCTCCTTGAAAAGTTACCGGTGCGGAGGACGGTTTGTAGGAGGGCCAGGAGGGTCCCGTCATCAGCACCGTCGACCTTGTCGACCTCCGTCCTCCAGCGCTCTAGGAAGTCCCGAAGGGTCTCATCCCTCTTCTGGCGTATTGTTAGGAGGTGGGAGAAGTGCTTCCTTGTGCGACGCCTCCCGGCGAATTGTGTCAAGAACCGCTGGGCGAGTTCTTGCCATGAATCAATACAGCCCTCGGGCAGCCTGTTGAACCATTCGTATGCCGGCCCCTCTAAGGTGGAGAGGAACCAACGACACAAATATTCGTCCGACGCCCCCACCATCATCATGCTGTTCTGGTACTTGCTGTAATGTTCCTGGGGGTCCGTTTTTCCGTTGTAGGGCTGTATATGTTGCCCTCGGTATTTTTCCGGGATCCGGGCCGCCAATACCCTTGGGGTAAATGGCGTCCGAGTCCGGAGCTGGATGACGGGTTCCCCGGAGCCCTCGGCCACCCTCTTCTGTAACTCCTCCATTTTGGCCATCATGGCCTCGTATTTGAGATCTGAATGAGGGGTGGAGGTGGTGGCGTGAGCTTTGTTGGACTCCATCTCGTCAAGCCGGCGTTGGAGGGCCGCAATAATCTCGTCCCGGGGATCCTTCGGGAGGGTCTCCGCCCCCTGCGAACGAACCCGGGCCGAGTGGGCCTGGTTGATTTGGTGCCGAGCATCATCGGCATGAAGGGGTGCCTTGCCTTTGTCCCGAGGGGGACGCTCCTCGTCTGCCCTCGAAACAGATCCCCCGCTTTCCTGGGGCCTTTGGAGTGCTTTCCCCCCGAGGCGGTCTTGGACCCCTCGGCGGTCTGGCCCTCCTCCGAGCCGGTTGAGGGCGGAAGTACGGGGCCTTTCCCTGTTGTCATTATGGCGGTCCCGGGACTGAACTTCCTGGGAGGACGTATCTTGGGCCACCACCCCTTCGTCGTTTCTCACCCGAGGGGTGGGATTTCCGAAGGGGTGTGGCAGAGGGGGAAGTATGATGTTTTCCCCAACCTGAGGGTGAGCTGGAGCCAGGGTGCCGAAGGCACCCGGGTTCTGGGTGAGCGTTTGGATGAAGGCGGAGAGCGCCGATTGCACGTCGATGGTGAGAACCGGAGGGCTGACTTGGTCATCGCTCCGGTTTTTCTTTTTGGCCTCGATGCCGAGGCGGGCATCGGGGGCATTTTGTTGGATCTGGAGGCGTAGGTCGACAGCCGCCTGTTCCAGCCCGGCGATGACACCGCCCTCGTGAGCCCTGTGAGAGGCTTCGGGGGCGTTGACGTCGCCGAGGGCCAGGTTCTTGTCATCTACATTTTTTGAGTTGGCACGTGTTGTCCTCACCATTTTGATAGAGGGCTAGTGTTTTATGTTTGGTCGAGGGGGAGGGTTTCTTACTTGATTGTTCGACCTCTCAACGAGAGCACCAAATGATGGATAGTCTACCCGGGGGTATATATCCGGACAGGGTTATTGCGGGGAGTAACAAGAGAGAAGTCAGAGCAAGTAAGTAAAAGTAGAGAGAGAGTGTATTCAGTATGAGTGCCGTTTTCAGCGTGATTACAAATGAGGAAATGGGGTGCTATTTATAGTAGCAATAAATGCAGGGCAGGGACACGTGTCAAGCTCTCATTGGCCGAGGGGTCACCTCAACTGGTTGGCGCTGGCAGCCACATGTGGCCGCATTCAATGCGGCTGTTGGATGGGACGTCTATGTGGGGTACGGTGATCTGTACGCATGTGAGGCGGATATCTTGTCGAGTGAGATGCCTTCGGCTATAGAACAGTGGCCGAGGGCTCTTCCACCCGATGGCACCCTGGTGCCGAGGGCTCACAATGCCGAGGGCTACTGTTTTCGCCGTTTTCTCCCAGTTCCTTAATTTGCTTGAGAAACCCGTTCTGTGAGAATTTGGAGCCTTCGGCCAGGGGGCCGAAGGCAACCCTGGCGCGTAGTGCGGACTGCTTGGTACTCTGGGCGATGTGATTTGGGCCTGTTGGGCCTTTTGGGCCTTTTGGGCCTTCGCTGGAGTAGTAGGAGTCTGTGGGCCGGGGGTTCCCGGGCCATATACTCCATCAACTTCTCCTCATGGTTTCCCAATTCTGCATCTTTAGTTGAGATATTAGCTGTGCCTGATGTAGACTCCTTCCATCCCCTCTCATCCTGCCATCTGACTTGTTGTCCTCCCTCTGCTGGGGAACCGGCTCGAGCTTGAAGACCCACTCACCAACCACTTATTTCCTCCTGTATGACTAGTCTTCACCCCAGTACCTGCCCTAAGATGTACCCAAAAGTTTTTTTTCAGTACCAGATTTTGTTCATATGCCAATGGACATAATTTATCAGAATGTCCTATAATGCCACAGACAAAACATAAATTGGGCAATTTTTCATACTTAAAATCCACCAAATGACCAATACCTCCTTTTTAAAGAGTTTGTACCCTGTTTCAGAGGCTTTTCCACATTCATACACACCCTAACTCGCAAGTAAGATTCCCACTTTTCACCAAATTGATTTCATCATAGATGACAAACTCCCCAATAAAATTATCAACCCGCCTAGCTGTACCTAAATACATCAAGTTGTACGGGACATTATGAATCTGTACCCAAAACTCAGCCTCATTTAAACAAATCTTATGCAGAATATCATCAGGTTTAACTTCTTTTAGAATCATCATATTTCTCTCAAATTGCCACGAACCTCCATCAAGCACACGTTTCATATCAACAGAATGGTAGAAAGTAAATAGATATCTCTTATCACCAATTTCTTTGATCAAAACGCCTTTCACCGGCCTCCACAGGGATTCCATCAGCTCCTTGAACACCGGAAACTTGATTTTCCTGTTTGTTAGCAAACCCCCCATAACTGGATAGCTCGGCTGAACCTCCTCAATTGGGACATCTTCGAACTCGGCTTCATCCATATCCAGCTCCTCGGATTCCTTTCCTATATTCATCTTTTTGTACTGGTCAACAATCTTCTCCATGCAGCCCTTGATGCCTCCTATCCCATGAACAAAACCTCCTGGCCAGATTCGGACTCCGCCCTCTTCCTCGACGGAAAAACCTTTATGCCGGAATCAAGTCTGACCGGACCTCCTCGCTTCCAAATCGAACGAAGCGCTACCACGCTGACTCCCGCTGCCCTCTCCTCCTACCGAAGGCTCCGAAGCCACTAATGTTGATAGAAATTGCCGAGGCGGCACCGCTCCTCGACAAAAGTCGATAGCGGACATAATGCTCTAGCCGTAAAACCTAAGAGAGAGAAACTAATGCTAAAACAAATTTTGAAAATGTAATTAACTTAATTCTATTTATTTATAAAAAAATATAGCGATCGCATTTTAAAAAATTTTCTCAAATTTTATTTTATACTACGGTTTTTTCCTGATATGTTAATGATCAAAGTTGTTTTTCTTTTCCAACAAAGACGGCGGACGGCGGACGGCGGAAGGCGGAAGGCGGAAGGCGGTCTCTCTTTGGCACGTGTTTATACTCCGTATGCGTGTGTACAATAATACATTGACTGGTATACACATATATACACAGCTCATATTTCAAGTGTTTTTTTTCGTCGTCGGCATTTACCATTTCTCACCACACAGTCACACGAAACACCATCCCGCTGCTCTATCGTCTCCGTTGGTTATTTTTTTTTAATGTTTATGTCGATTTCCATCTCAATATAATAGCGTGCAGGAATCATTTCCGTTGAAACGAAAAAATCATACCGGGCTGGAACTGAACAAGATTACTTTGTGTAGAATCAGGGTTTTAGTCTTGTAGCTTTTCTTAGCCATGGCTTTGGTCGGTATATTGCAAAAAACCTCACTTGGGGATTCAATATTTGAGATCGTTCTGTTTATGGCTCCTATTTGCATTGCAGCTGTTGTTGGTCTGCTGGTGGGTTGGTCATGGAAGCCCAATTGGGCAAATCTCAAGGCTCGTTGGTTGTCTTTGACCTTACGAAACTTGTTGACTGGTTCAACTCGAATCCAAAACTTAACTTTGGTAGAATCGCAACCCCCCAGCTCCGCATGGAATTCTGAGTCAGAAACTTCAGCTCCGATTCCTCAGCTATGGTTAGTTCAAAATTTCTTTGCATTTTATCCCATTGAAGTTAAACCATTCGGTGAATAGGTTCTAAGTTTTAGACCGATTTAGGTTTTAGCAGCGATTAAGTTTGATTTTTATTGTAGGCCCCCCAGTTCATTGCAGCCAAAAGGTGAAAAATCAGGTCTTGTTGGTGATAATGATCTTCACCAGTTGTGCCAATTAGTGGAAGAAAAAGATGAGGGCCCTGATTGGATTCACATGATGGATCGGTCAACCTCAAACATGAGTTATCACGCATGGCGCAGAGACCTTCAGGTATTACAATAAAATTTCTTCCATGAAAGGAAACTATAAGTGAAATGTTCAGACAATCATGAGAATTTTCCCATGATGCCATCTAAGAGCCAGACTGTATTCTACAGTGATGGCGCTATCCGGTCTGTTGTGTAAAATGCAGTGTTTTATAATGTAACATTGCAGAATGGACTTCCGCAATATCGCAGTAGAAGTGTTTACGAGGATGCCACTCCAGAAGTGGTGAGGGATTTCTTTTGGGATGATGAGTTTAGGCTAAAGTGGGATGAAATGCTAATACATGCTGAAACCCTGGAGGAGTCTCCCACTACAGGAACTATGATGGTTCGGTGGGTTCGTAAGGTATGATAGACATTGATCTTTGTTTCCTCTGACCATTGATTGAAACGGTTTTTGTCACTACTTATTTTTCTCTTTAATGTTGGTATGTTGCAGTTTCCTTTCTTTTGCAGCAATAGAGAATACATCATTGGCCGTCGAATTTGGAAGTCGGGACAAACATATTATTGTGTTACCAAGGTAAACAAGTTGATACTGTAGTGTGATGCAAGTACATTGTTTTTTGTCCAGACATCACTTTGTTTTGACACAAACAGTTTATGCTATTGTGTTGGCTTTGTATTCAGTGTTATGCGGAGTATTGGTTTAGAACTGATGTGATACAGTGAAACCAAATTGTCTCCAGTTTAAGTAACATTTGGGTTTAAAAGATTTAGAGAATGGAAACTTCCTTGTTCTTCTTGTGCAATCCTTCTAGGGGTGGGCATATCGGTTTGGTTTAACCGAACCGTACCAAAACCGGACCATATGCAATTTGGTTTGAATTTGGTAGTATTTCTTTCAAACCAAACTAAACCAAACCGAAACTGAAAAAAATGAATAAAATCGAACCAAACTAAAGAAATTCAATAAAACCTTTATATGTTACTAAAAAATAACGAATCTTAACTGAACCAAACCGAACCAAAACCAATTAAAACCGAGCCGAAACCTATATACCCACCCCTAAGCTCTTCCATTCATGTCTTATTATTAGCTGTCTAAATTTCAGCCAGCAATATACTTCATTGACTATAAAATTACTAAGCCACAACTTTATGGCTTCCGCAACCATAGCTTTGCCATCTGGTAGTAGCGTTCTCTAATCTCTATTGAAGTAAATTGCTGTGTCATGAGTCATGACCTGGATACTGTAACGGTGTAATGTTTTTCTGCGATATACTCCCTCCGGTCCTTAATTAACTTTACACTTTCCTTTTTGGGTCGTCCCGTATTAAACTTTACACTTCCTTATTTGCCTTATTTGGCAAACAAATCTACACCAAACAGTGCAAAACAGTGTCAAACAGTGCCAAACAGTGTCAAACAGTGCCAAACAGTGTATTCTACAGTAAAGTCAAATTTATTTCCTTAATATGTGTGAAGTCAAAGTGCAAACTTCATTAAGGACCGGAGGGAGTATATAATATAAAGTTGCTCAAAAGAGGAGTAAAACATGAACTAAGGTCACAAATAGTTCTACAGACTTCTGTTATATTAGTTTTTTTTCTCTCCCTCTATATTGATACGCCTGCATATTTAGTTTACATTTTTACCTGTGTCTCGTATGTGTAAGGTTCAAATGCATTTCTCACTTCCATGATATTGAATATGATTGCTTGAATACTATGTATTTCAGGGTGTTCCCAGCCCGTCTGTGCCACGACTTGATAAACTGAGACGTGTTGATGTATATTATTCAAGTTGGTGTGTTCGTCCAGGTAGACTATCCTACAGTCATTTAGTATCTTTGCATTCCTAGGCTCATATTTTACCGTCTTTGTATCTTGAAATTCTCCAACAAGACTCCAATATGAAATGTTGTTGTACGTTAATGAAAAATATTAGGTTTCATTGGTAAGATTTTCTTGTTTTGTTCATCATCATCATTACCCCAGTGTCACAAAGGCTCTCACTTACGGTGGGGTAAGGGGGTAGGATGTACGCAGCCTTACCGCGGTACTAAAGCACAAAGAGACTGTTTCCGGATGACCCAATGTGAAAATCGCGTCGAAAATTACATGAATTGACTGATTCTTCATAACAAAGAAGTGCAGACAGTTTAATGAGCCATTTTGCTTTATTCCATCATATTTTGCTTTATTCCATCACATTTTACTCTTCTGTTTTTGCTCATGTTTCTTGGAAAGAAGTATTTCTTGTTTTCATTTTTTCTGAAAAGTTGTTTCGGATAGGGGAATTTATTTATATAATTATATGTGACTAAAACATTCGTAGATTCTTAATAAATGACATGCAAACTTAAACATGTGCCTAGTAATAATTAAATTAAAGGGAGAATAAAGCACCTCATTAATTTGACTAACTAAAACACCATTAATTTAATAATAATAATAACCCATTTAGTCATATTTTAGAAATTACCACATCTTTTAGTCATTCTCCAAGTAATACTTTCTGGATATAGAACTTTTTATATGACAATAAGAATATTTAGATCTAATAACTAAGATAAACTACTATGCATGTTTTGTGTAGAGTTATTTATAATTTGAAAACAGAAAACGAAAGTTTTGGAAATGGAAAAAAATAGAAGACATGTAACGTTTCCAAATGAAAAACACTTAAATTTTGCTCATTCATGCAGTTGAATCAAAGATAGATGGGCAGCTGAGTTCATGTGAGGTGTTGCTCTTTCATCATGAGGACATGGGCATACCTAGGGAACTTGCAAAACTTGGTGTTCGACAAGGCATGTGGGGTGCTGTCAAGAAGATAGACCCTGGCTTGCGCGCATATCAGAAACACATAAGCTCTGAAGCCCCAATATCCCGTGCGGCCTTAATGGCTCAAATCAACACCCAAATCAGCATTGACAAGCTGAGGTCACACGAAGGGGAAATCAGTTCAGTGGAGGTCCGAAACCCAAGTCCAACACTTTATCCGTCAGGGAGGAGTATAACAAAATTGCTTATTCTTGGTGGAGCAATCGCTCTTGCTTGTAGTCTTGACCGTGGACTATTAACTAAAACAGTTATAATTGGAGTTGGTCGGAAATTTGCAGGAATTGGGAAGCGTCTTTGAAGACAGAAAATAAAACTGATGGTCTGTGTAATTATGTTATGTTTTGTAGTAGATGGGCTGCAATGGCATGGAGGGGCATTTCTCGCAGAGGTCCAACCAATAATTCAGTAAAATGGGCGTTTCTTCCATCTGTTCTTGATTCTAGGAGGATACAAGTATTATTTTTTTGAACGGAGTATTTCTTACGGGCTGCAATGGCATGGAGGGGCATTTCTCGCAGAGGTCCAACCAAGAATTCAGTAAAATGGGCGTTTCTTCTAGGAGGGTACAAGTATTATTTTTCTGAACGGCGTAGTTCTTACGGAGTATTTCTTAGTAAGTTAGTAACCTGTATGACCGTATCATCTATTTATTATATTTATATTTACTAAAATAAATAAGAATGAATGCATCATCTTGTAAATGAATATAATGAAAGAGATATGATGAATTTTAGAGTACATTCCCAAATCGGTTGTTATATACTTATATTTATGAACTTCTGAATGAAGAAGTAGCTGTTGATTTATGTAAAATTATATTTAAAATATATTATATTAATAAAATAAAGAAAAAATTATATGAGAAATGACTACAATGATCATCATCATTAACTTCATCTAATACAACAAGAAAAGTAACTTTAATCTTGCTTTTTCTTATTATTACACAACTTACCACACAAAATAAAAAATTACTTGTTTGATGAAAAAGTTAATTGATAAGTTTGATAAGAAGAAAAACATGTTCATCAAACGTTTTGTAACGTAACAGTCCATTCCAAATATTGATTATGACTAGTAGACAAAGTGAATAATTAGTTTACATTATTTTAAGTTTTTAACAATCACATTAGCCTAAGAAATTATAAAAGAAAAATTTATATATTCCTTGTAGTGTTATGCAACTACCTTTTTTTCTAAATTGAATGGTCTCGGAGAAGAGGTTAACTAAAAATAAAATAATGCAAATTATAGAGATGAAAAATTAAAACAATACAGAGACCTAAAAATTGTGTCACATTTGCAAAGGCAAAAACGTATTTAAGCTTTAAATTGATAATATCTTACTATATTTTGTTTCGTTTCAAGTGTTTTAATTTCATTCAAAATATCATATCAAGTTATGAACTATATGTTCCCTCCGGTCCCAAAACAAATTCACACTCACTATTCATTGGTCAACTTAAATCATTCTTAATGTTTTACTTTATATATCAAATTTTTATCAAATTTAAATTTTCTTGATCAGACTTTGTAGCGATTTTAATGTAGTTTCTGAATATGTAAATTTTATTTACTAAAAATAATCCGAGCGTGAACAGGGATCGAATTGCTTTATCGCCAGTCAAGCATCGTAAACCGTGAGTGAATTTGTTTTGGGACCGGAGGGAGTATTTCAAAATTCATTTACAAGATATTATACGAAAAGTACTTATTACGCTAAATTTCGAAAATATTATTGAGTCGACTCCAAATTTCATACTCCCCTTGTCCCTTAAAACTTTCGCAATTTTTCTTTTTTGGATGTTCCACTAACTTTGCCGCTTTTTCTTTTAACTTTGCTTCCTCTGCAATCTGCATAAATCACAATCGTGCAATTTTTAATTTATTAATCCACGTGTCAGTCAAACTTGATAAAGTTTTAAGTGACAGAGGAAATATATGATAGGTGTAGTATGTAATTTCATCATATTATTTAATAAATAATATGATGATCTCCAATTTGACCGTTGAAAAGTCATAGGAGGCAAAATTAAAAAAAGGAGTAATGATAGGATGATCGATAAATTAGAGGTAGTGAGTTAAAAGGTTTAAAATGTCCAAGTAATAAAATAATTTTTTTTTTAAATATAAGTAAAAAAGTTTAAAAATTTTAATATTGTACTTTTGTGTATTTATTCCCTTTATAAGAGTAATCAGGGTTATAAAATACGATCATATTCAAATTATTGTAATGCTAAGAGCCCGTTTGATAATACTAAAATCGACTTGTTGGGGTATGTTATCCCGACCTACTACTGTTCAGAGGCCCAAGGCACCACCTCGATATAAGGCCCAGTCAGCGAGGCCCATTTAGGCCCACCCGGCCCGTTGAGAGCCATTTAGGCCCACTCGGCCTGCCCGGCCCATCTCGGCTCGTTAGGTCCTGTCCAGCCCATTAGGCTAGAAAGCCCCCATCCCCCCTTCTATAAAGAGGAAGCTAGGCTTCCATTTATGGGATCCGACTTTTGGCTCCTCCTCTGTAATGCTTTGCTTATTTCGTGGGATAAGATTTTCAACCTCCATTAATGGAGCTCAATATTTGTACATGTATTTTGGTAAGGAGTGGTAATGAGAAAGAGCGGGCTTGGACGTTAGCCTAAAGAGTCCTGTGGTTTTCTCCCTTCCGGGATTCCACGTAAAAATAGAGCATTTTATACATATTTATATCTATATTTAATAGTTTATGTTGGACTAAACTCAACATTGGTGCCGTCTGTGGGAAAAGTTCAAAAAGATTCACGTGTTCATGGCATTTCTACAACATTCGCGCCGTCTGTGAAACTAAATTCAATATTTAATAGTCTCGCGGTCGGGCTCGTCGATCTCTAATCTGGGATGGCGACCGCCGCTTTATGCGGCACACACGGCTCTTCAGCACCGTTGTGCCTGGCTCTCGGTTGGGCTTGTCCATCCTTGATCCGGGATGGCGACCGCCGCTTTTATGCAGCAAGAATGGGCTCCACAGCACCGTCGTACCTCGCTCTCGGTCGGGCTCATCCATCCTTGATCTGGGATGGCGACCGCCGCTTTTATGCAGCACGAATGGGCTCCACAGCACCGTCGTGCCTGGCTCTCGGTTGGGGCTCGTCCACCCTTGATCTGGGATGGCGACTGCCGCTTTTATGCAGCACGAATGGGCTCCAAAGCACCGTCGTGCCTGGCTCTCGGTTGGGCTCATCCATCCTTGATCTAGGATGGCGACCGCCGCTTTATGCGTCACGAACGTCTGGCTCTTCAGCGTCGTCGTGCCTTCTTTGTGATCGGGCTCGTCGATCCTTAATCTAGGATAGCGACCGCCACTTTATGCAGCACGAGCGGCCGGCTCTTCAGCGCCATCGTGCCTTCTTCTTGGTCGGGTCCACCCATGCCATTCAGGGTCGGGACCGCCGCTTTAAGCAGCACGAACGGCTGGCTCTTCAGCCCCGTCGTGCCTAGTGTGGGGACTGCACCTCACCCGCCACTTATGCATGCCTTGCGTCCGAGACTATTCGAAGATGCCGATTCAGGGAAGGCAAAGAGGGACGTGAGCAAGAGTATACCTTATCGAGTAGATTCACAGGCTCACTACTCAAGAAACTGGGGGACTTGTGTTGGGGAATATTATCCCGGCCTACTACTGTTCAGAGGCCCAAGGCATCACCCCGGTATAAGGTCCAGTCAGCGAGGCCCATTTAGGCCCACCCGGCACGTTGAGAGCCATTTAGGCCCACTCGGCCTGCCCGGCCCATCTCGGCCCGTTAGGGCCTGTCCGGCCCATTAGGATAGAAAGCCCCCATCCCCCCTTCTATAAATAGGAAGCTAGGCTTCCATTTATGGGATCCAACTTTTGGCTCCTCCCCTCTACTGCTTTGCTTATTTCGTAGGCTAAGATTTTCAACCTCCATTAATGGAGCTCAAGATTTGTACATGTATTTTGGTAAGGAGTGTTAATGAGAAAGAGCGGACTTGGACATTAGCCTAAAAAGTCCCGTCGTTTTCTCCCTTTCCGGGTTTCCACATAAAAATAGAGCATTTTATACATATTTATATCTATATTTAATAGTTTATGTTGGACTAAACTCAACATTGACGTCGTTTGTGGGTAAAGTTCAAAAGGATTCATGTTTTCATGGCATTTCTACAAAAAAAAATTACAAAAACAAATTGTTCTTCAAAGGGAAAAAATAGAAGGAATGATTCTCGAAAAAACTATAAGGGAAGAAGTCCAGGCTCAGCCCAGCAGCTGGTCACCAACCACTGCCCCCAATTCTTGGGAAAAAGGTGGAAAACAAAGCACAAGGCCAAAGGAGGTCTATGAGCCAACCATGGCTTTTTTGGTTATCCAAGAAGATGTGTGGGACCCGCGAGCCCATTACTCCGACAATACAGAAGAATTCCCACCTTCACGTGGGACGCCTGACACAAGAAGTGGGTGATTTGACATATTCACCATTACCCATAAGTAAACGCCGACTCCCGAACGGGAACTTCTGAACGCCCAAGTTAGCGGCTGCACCCGGAGGGAGTCCCATGATGCCCGACCATTCTGGAAGACCTGCAGCAGAGCTGCAGAGGTCACACACATCAGCGGGAAGGAGTAACCGTACGAGACAGCATAGGCCCGAACTTCATTTGGAAGGAGAGGACGTTTGGATTCTTGAGCAGCAACACCATTGACGGAGCGGGATTATGCTGGACCAATCCATTTATGAGAATTAACCAAAGCATGAGCAATCCTACGCAGGAGGATTACCCGAACAACCTCCAAAAGGATTTGTGTCCGGTCAGTAGTCCTGATTATCGGGCCCCACACAGTAGCAACTCGAGACTCTTGAAATGATTAACCATTATACTCCCGAACGGGATAAACTTTCAAACGGCCGGACCGAGCTTCGCCGCAGCTGAGAGATATTCAGTGGTCACTTAGCTCTGAGTGCGTGCGGCCCCCACCGCTCGATGGCAACCACACAGATTTTCAGTGGCCGCCCATACATCCATGAGCCTCTGCCGATCCATTAGGGATGATTGATCAAACGGAAACATCAACTGCAGTCGTTGGGGAAGGGCAGCAGGTTAGACTCCACCAACTCCTGACACTTTAACCAAGACGTTGAGCCCGAGCGGGAGCAAGAACCGTCCTTTGACCTCAAAGGTGGACGGTGAAGCTTGGCCCCATGTCTACAAGACCCGAATGGAAAGACCCGGACGAGTACCATCCGATCGGCATAAAGGTTCACGAGATAAGAAGCTCTGGCTATACCCCCAACTAGAACCCCTGAACAATCTTAGGCCAACATCCGAGGCATTCGGACGGGAGGGTCCGAAAATAGCACAAAGGCAGATGACTCCAACGGTATTTTCTAAAACTCCCGAACACCAAAGCTAACAACTGCACCTGAAGGGAATCCGGGGGGGCCACCCAGACACTATCGTACGTATCTTGCAAAGTGCTTAAGGAATTTTGACTCTCACCACCGGCTATCTAATCAGATATGCTGTCTGGAGGTCCAGTTCGGGATAAAGGAACAAGTCCCTTACTGCTCCTTCAAAGCTGATCATCCTTACAAAAGCCAAAAATGGACCACCAACAACCTCGAACGGGAGGTTTCCCGACCAGTACATGCCATATTTTTCGCATACGGGCAACACCGACTAATCTAATTAATCATAAAATAGAGGGACTCCATTGAGGGAAAGCAAGCAAAGGCAGCAGGGATGACATGTTCAATCCCCCACCCTACTGTCATACATTGGTCGGCCGGGTCCGACGCTCTAGGGCACCGACCAACGTTT